CTCTGCATCTTCGGTCTTCTTCTCCGCCATGGCGTCGTACACCTGCACCCTCAGCTCATCCCTAGCCTTCTCTGTTGAAGTTAGAGAGCACAGTAAGTACAAGCGGTTTAAACTGCCGATGTAAAAACGAATGGTCAAACAGCTCAAAAACAAGCCCGCGTAGAAAGATCATTTTCTCACCATCGATGTTTTCTGTGCCGTCAACGTTCGAGTCCTTGGGGCTTTCCTCCTCTTCCTCCTCCTCCTCCTCCGGTACTCCTTCCAGAGCATTACCCAGGACTGAGTTCTCCATCCTACAACAGCAGTGTCATATTCACCACGTCAAACCACAGTGGCACAATCCTAAACTAGACTATCTGTTCCTTTATTAAAACAATGACTCAAGACTGATGGGAGAAAGATTCAGACTGAGGTTCATGACCTCACCGTGCCAAATCCAACAGAGCTTTTCCACACCAGAAGAACGCCTCTCCACACTCATCTGCGGTGTCCCCGTACTTCTTAGCTCTGAAACAAGAGAAGTCCGATTCAATAGGATCATCCTCTGCATGGAAGCACCACTCTGATACCATCACAATTCACCTTCAACTTCAAATAAAAACGAAAAGGTGCATTTTAGTGTCTAACACTGACTGATCAGTTTCATGTAAGCTTATAAAACAACCTTAAAATTAATCCACATCGACGCACAAAGGACTTTCAGCTGGTTGTTAGTTTAAAGTACACACTTCATATAATTATTATACACACGAGCAGTTTCTTCTGTGTCATAGTTAACTCACAGCATGCCGCAGGCCTCCTGCAGGGCGCTCACCGCCTCCACCACCTTCCCCATCACCAGGTGCTTCTTGCCCGTGCCGATGAGCTTGTTGGCCTCCTCCATGTTAGCTACTCTGGACAGAAAGAGAGAGAGTTAACAAACAGAAGCCGAACTCATACAGAAGTTCAGCCCGTAAAATACTTTAAGGGAAAACTTTAACGTTACCAAACACAGCGTCAGTGTTTCCTTACAGTGAGTAGTCACATACCTTGAGCGGGAAATAACGAGTGAAAGGTGAAAGGTAGAGCCTGTTGCTTTGTGTCTCAGGTCCTTTCTTCCACCGCTCTCACTGACTGCTCCGTTCTTTCAATTTGGCGCGAAATATTCCTGCCCTTTCCGGTCGATTTCCGGGTTCGTGCACCAGCGCGGGAGAACTCTTAAAGGCACAGAGCAAACGCTGAGTGCAAGTTGACTACAAATGCTACTTACTACTACTAGTAGGACTATGGAGACGCATAGTATTCAAAATCAAATAAATATGACGTTATGAAATACTCAAAGTAACAATAATACAAAATACAAAATACATAAATACAAAAAAGTGAAATACAATATGTTTTTGAATACCCAGCCCATAATAATGATGTTTTATTTCCTTCTGCTTCTTTTCACAATAACAGAGTTTATTGCAGGTCATATTAATTGTATTGTTTTTTTTGTTTCAAAATGTCTTTCTTTAGTCAAGACAAGTGGGTTAGAGTCAGTTAAATAGGCTACTGTTATAGTCTGAATGGGCTATAATGACCTACAATAATCTAGGATAAAAGAACTACTTATTAATGCTGAGTTGTAAAAATGTATTTAACTCTTTCATGCTTATACTACGTGTTTTGTTTGTAATAATGTATGTAATTAGTAATTAGTCATTTCAAAATGTCTTATTTATTCTTTTATTTATTTAATACTGATCATGTTGTAGTAAGTACCACTTCTGTATGCTACAGTTTTATTAACGCTATTCACTTTAAAATATGTATAGGTGTGTGTATTTCTCACTTCTTAGCGCATGTGTGTGTTTCACTCTACACCCAATGGTACACACACACACACACA